AAGTTGTTCCAGGATTTCTTAAAGTTTTCTAAATCATCATTCAGCTTAGCCAGCATTCGTTCATATGACACTATTTCAAGCATCAATCCCAACCAACCTTTGATATTTGGGGCAGTCAGTGATTTCCATTGTCTGAGGACAATTCTGGCAGCCGTCACAGTCCCCACCTGTACCACCATGTTTTGATGCTTTGAAGTGTTAGGTATCACTGTTTGATCCCAGTAAGCATAATCTTGGTGACATGGGTATTGGGGTTATAATAATTTATCATTTTTATACTTCCATGCTTTGTCCACACTTTAACCCATTAATCTCCAGTTCCGTGTTTAATTGTAATTTGATAAATTTGATTGTTTCTTTTATAAATATGGCACATCCTCCTCCATTTCCATTTCCTCTATCTCTGCGTACAATTGAATATCCATTAATGTTAAACTGTAACGTTGGTTTCAACCAAGTTTCTTGGATACATATAATATCTGGTTTCTCATTCAATCTATTAATAAAACCTTTAAACTCCTGACCATTAACTATTAGACTTCTAGCATTCCATTGCAATATTAGAATTATATAACTATTTGATTTGCCTCACTTTCTCCTGACCCTCTCCTTGTCTGACTCATCTTGAATTCTCTCCCATAACGGATCTTTAACACTAAAGAATCTTGCTGCTGCTTTTACTATAATTTTTATTTTTTCAGTCTTAGTTCTCGCCTGTTCGGAACAGTTTATAATATAAGCCAGGAACGGGATCAGTTTTTCTAGCGTGATAATGTTTGATTTTTATCTGCTGCTTCTTCTTCTTTTCTACTTTTGCTCTCTGACTAATCCCTGTACTTTTCACCTCCTTTACTGCTTCCGCATAAGACATTCTCTTCTCTGTTTCAGTTTTTGAATTTCCGCCGCTTCTTTCTTCACCAAACATCCTGCATATGCTGCGGTATGATCCCCTCCACAGTTACAACATTTTATCGGATTCTCTCCACACTCCCCAGAAGCGTGTTCCCCTCCACACCTACCACATCTTTGCTTTCCATTGCATACATTTGCTGTATGGCCATATCTCCGACATTTGTAACATCTCATAGGTGGTGGGATATAATTTCTTACATTGAAGCTCAAGTATCCAATCATTACCTTATCCGTTTTACTTTATCCAGTTTTACTTTATCCTTGAATTCTAATAGCACAGAAGTGCTCCATTCTCTCCCCATTTCTAAAGGCCTGCAGTCGTTTGATACCTAAAACCTCCATTTATTACTTTCTTTAACTCGTCCAAGTTTTCTCCTAAAGGAATCCCTGAAATCACCCCTTTCGCTCCTCTTTCCTCTCCTATTACTTTCCTCTCCTATTACTTCTCTTTTGCAGATTTGTTTGTATTTTTAGTGCTTTATTCTTTTGTTCAGCATTCCTACAGATAATCAGAAGGCTTCCATCTCTTAAAACTTTAGCTAATTCCACATCTCCATAATTTTTTTTTAATCCATTTGATAGTGTGATTGGGCTCACCCCAATCAAGTCCTGTCCAGTTCTGAACTTCAAAATCACTTTAAAGTCTCCATCATTATTTTCTTTCTTGTCTCAATGTTTTCCTCTTCATCCTCCATCATCCTTTTGCCTGTATTCATCCCTTTTTTACCCTTATCCTTCCCTCCTCCCCCTTTCTTACTTTCTACAGAGACCAACCTATTTCCATACTATCTTCATCTGAACACCCTCCACTACTACCAGCCATCTAGATCCACTCACAGCCCAGATTATGCCAAGAACCTCTCCTCCACTTCCAGCTTCCGTGACCAACCACCTTCGTCAGAGTTGCTGCATGCAGGTGCTTCCAATCAGCTTCAGGTGGCACCAGTCAAGTTCTCTACCTCACTTCCTCTTACAAATATGAGCCCTTCAAAATAAAATATGGTGAAGATTACTTTTTTAAAGAACCTGTAAGTACAGTTTTCAGTTAACAGTTATTAATAACAATTTTAACATATTTAAGCAAACATGCTTGACACTTTCTAAATTATCACTCCTATGACTTAACTCATTACAAACACCTTGAGTTTTGTACTGGGTTACACCAAACCTCTGTGACATCAGAGCCAATAAAAGTCCAACAGGTTCGGTCGGTTTGTGGGTCCAGGAGCAACACGGCACCAGAACCGGTTCTGGTGCCGTGCCCCAGTTCCAGAAGAAGATCCAGTAAAACCCCAACATCCCATAATGAATTCAGAATAATAACATGATGCAGGAGCAGCAGTGATAGTTTGTGGATCATTTTAAGCAATAAAAGAAGAAACCAAAAGAAAAGGCGTTTGATAAAAGGAGCAGCTGCTCTATGATTCATCATAGTTAACATTTTAACTGATAAACATAAACACATAATTTCCACATATCTTAGGTCACCGCGCGTTCTGATTGGCTCCTGTCATATTCACCAGGCTGCGTTCAGTCAGGGAAATCCCACAAGACGATGTTGACACCATGCACTGCAGGACGTTGTAAGATGGTGGCAAAGGGAAAATTGGGGCATAAAAAGGCTTTAGCAGAAACACCGACATGCAGAAGTTTGATTTGATGCCCCCCCCCCCCCCTCATAAACTCCCCCAAACCGCCGGGCCGCAGAGAGATTACCAAGTCTTGACCGGTCCATGGTGATAAAGGTTGGCCACTCCTGCTTTAGACTATTTCAAACATTCAAACGTCTAAATGTTGAGCTCATCAGCTGTGCTGCAGCTTTTGGTTTTTACAAAATATTCACTTTTTATCAGTTTTTATGCTTCATTGAAATGAATTGAAAACTCTGAACTGTTTCCTTTGAAAAATCCAATCAGCCAGTAATATATATGAAACTTTGAACATTTCTTCAGTGGATTTAGTGGGTTTGTAAAGATGGTTACAAAGTCGGCCTTCTATCACTGAAGAACGTCTCCAGGATTAGAGGACTAATGTCTCAGCCAGATCTAGAGAAACTCATCCATGTGTTTATCTTTAGTCGCATTGATTATTGTAACAGCGTCTTCACAGGCCTGTCCACAAATCAATCCTCCAGCTGCAGCTGATCCAGAAGCTGCTGCTCCTGTTCTCACTAAAACCAGGAAGATAGAGACATAACAGCAGTTTTAAAGTCCCTCACTGGCTCCCTGTAGCTCAAAGAATAGATTTTTTAAAATCCTGTTGTTAGTTTATAAAATCAATGAACGGTTTAGCACCACAATACATCAAAGATCTGCTGTTGTTGTATCAACCTTCCAGACTCTCAGGTTCTGGTTCTGGTTCTGATCTTGTAACCCGGTTAGGGTTGGGTTAATCCCAACCCGGTTACACTCTGCATCCATAACCAGAACCTTCAGTTGTTCTGAGAACATGAATCAGAACCGCAGAGAATCTCAACCGGGTCAAACTGAGGATCAGATGACATCACTGTTATTGTATTTAAATTGGGTTTATGTGAATGAGCTGAATGAACTAGAACTGCTTCTTTCTCTCCAATCAGACTTGGTGGCTGTAAACTCTCTGATGCTGAGTTGACGTTGTGGCTTCAGCTCTGAATCCAACCAACATCTGACTGAACTGGAAATAAGACAAGAACTGGAAACGTCTGCAATGGAGCGTCTGTGTGAAGGCCTGAAGTTCAGCCGGTAATCTGGAGATTCTGAGGTTTTGTTTTCTCTGTTAATCCAAGAAATCATTCAGTCATTGGTTTAATTTTGTTCTAATGTAGTTTGTATGAATTAGACAACATTCTGCTTTTACAGTGTAGTTTCTGAAATATTTTTATCCTGAAGGTGAATTATTTCTTGTTTCAGATTATTGATATTGAATCATCAGTTCATAATGTTTTAACTGATGAGCAAAAACAAGGAAATAATGTAAATGAATGAGTTTAGTTTTTAGTTTGGAGCAGATTTAGACGCTCAGACTGATTTATTTCTATTTCTGACTCACATCTTTACATCCAGAGTGAAATGGATGATCTCTGGAGTTTTATAACAAGACAAAGTTTCTGCAACGGCTTCATGTGAACAAATGATGATGAACGTCTGCAACATGTGTGATCATGCAAACAGGCTTCGTTTATCTCCAGTGGTTTTTATTTCCCAGTAGATCCACAGGAAGATCTTTATGAAACATCAACAGGGTCAAAGGTCAACCCTGTGACATCCATCAAGGACTGAGGCCTCAGAGGCGAAGGCTCTATAATAGACTGTTATAGAGAGTCAGTCTATAACAGACTGACTCTCTATATCTCAATGAGATATAGAGAGTCAGTCTATAACAGACTGACTCTCTATAACAGTCAGTCTGTTTTGGAATTAAATATGAAAATGAAAAATAGCTTGTGGAGGAAATTCTTGATGAATGAGAGGAAACTGTTTCAGTAAGTTGGAGGAAAGTCAGTTTTTTGTCCAAAGTCTTGATTTGCAGGCAAACATCTAAAGATCCTGAGAGTCGGAGAAGCTGAGCCTCAATATGAGTTCAGGAAAAACTCAGCAGTTTTTCTTCTGCTGACTTTGGCTGCATCTGGTTTCACTGCTGCATTAAAGGAAATTAAAACCGACATCAACCTGAATGAGAAATCACACATATGCATCAGCTTCAACCTGCTTTTATATTAAATATATTTACAGCCATTTTTAAAACTTCAGTTTAATATTTCTAGTCAGTTTTTGGAGCCGTTCTAGAAGATCCACAGAACCACTGAAACGTTACAACACGTCTTAATAACACGCTAGTTTTATCTCTATAAACCAGTTTCACTGGATCAAATATTAAACATCAGTTCATCATGTTTCACTTTACATTCAGTGAAATTAGTTTTCTACATTTTATTATTAATTTGTTGATATTTCAGTTTCAACCTGCATCCTGCTGGTTCAGCTCACATCTTTTATTCTTTATCCAGGTTGAAGAAATGCAGTTTGTCAGAGATCAGCTGTTCTTCTCTGGCCTCAGCTCTGCAGTCCAACCAACATCTGACTGAAGTGGAAATAAATGAGATCAACATGGAGGAAACCGTTTCAGACTCTGGGATGAAGCGTCTGTGTGAGATCCTGCAGAGTTCAGTCACTAAAGTCAAGACTTTAAGGTTTGTTTTCTCTGTCAAAATGATTCATTGATAACAATTATTTTCATTCATCATTTATTTGCCTAACAAACATCCTGATGTCAAAAAGGCAGAATATTTTTTGTCAAACATTTTTCCATTAAAATAAATTATTTTCATATTTCAGGCTGTCAGAATATTGAACTTTAGTTGAAATGTTTTGCTGCTGAAGCAAATGGAGGTAAAAAAATGAATGAAAGGTGGAGACGCTCCAGTTTGGTGTGGGACAGATTCAGATGAAACACTTTAATATTTCCTTCAATATCAATATGATCAATATTGGTACCGATGTGATCAATACTGGGATGGATCCGCCCACCTCTAGTGAGAAGCAGAAACGTGACAAAGAGAGATTAATGCTGTCTAACACTGAAGACATGAAGGAAATTTACTGAGAATAACGGAGCAAACCGACGGTAAAAGGCTTCCTGATGCTAAGCTAAGCTAGCTTAGCGCGATTAGAGCTGTTAGCATGCTCCATTGAGGTAGCAGCTAATGCTACATCCAGTGACAGCATTACTGCATGGTGAAGTGTTTGTTGTCTCCATACCAGAGGAAAGTGACTTCTGTGAATAAGTTAGCAGGGAGCTAAAAGCTGCTAATGTTTAGAGCGGCTGGAAGAGCAGACGGTGGCCAGCTTCACACTGAGGATGATGATGGTGATTCTTCCTCATCATTGATCAGGGAACCAAAGCCAACCTGATTGGATGCAGGGAAACCACAGCCTGGTTTTCATCGGGCTGCTGCTGCTCATGTTTACAAGATGATTCATTAATGAACCGGAAATCTTTCATTCATCTCCAAAACTCGGATTATTCATTATTCTGGTCCATTCAGACCTTCGATCAAAACCGAGGGCCGACATGAGGCTGTGCTGCTCTACATATAACACTGTAAAAAGGAGTTTAGATTAAAAAGGTTTTATTTTACATTAACATGTTATTTTTAAATGTTCCTCAATGATCAATACAGTTTGACTGATGTTAGCCTTTGCTGACCCAAAATGCCAACCAGTTTGTTTCATTTATGGATTTGAATTATTTATTGTTAATGTGTCACTTAGATTAAAGTTTAATTCAGGTCAATTTCACCAGGATTTTTATTTCTTTCTTCCTTTGATTTCAAGGTTTTTGGACCAAACACTGTGTCCTTCCTTCACCATTGGTCCCAGTTCAATCCAGTTCAATCCCAGTACATTCCCAGTTCAATCCCAGTTCCATCCCAGTTCCATCCCAGTTTCATCCCAGTTTCATCCCAGTTTCATCCCAGTTTCATCCCAGTTCAATCCCAGTTCCATCCCAGTTCCATCCCAGTTTCATCCCAGTTTCATCCCAGTTCAATCCAGTTCAATCCCAGTTCATCCCAGTTTCATCCCAGTTTCATCCCAGTTTTCCCCCAGTTCCATCCCAGTTTCATCCCAGTTCAATCCCAGTTCAATCCCAGTTCCATCCCAGTTTCATCCCCAGTTTCATCCCAGTTCAATCCCAGTTCAATCCCAGTTCAATCCCAGTTCAATCCCAGTTCAATCCCAGTTTCATCCCAGTTTCTTCCCAGTTCCATCCAGTTTCATCCCAGTTCAATCCCAGTTCAATCCCAGTTCCATCCCAGTTCCATCCCAGTTTCATCCCAGTTTCGTCCCAGTTTCATCCCAGTTCAATCCCAGTTCAATCCCAGTTCCATCCCAGTTCCATCCCAGTTTCATCCCAGTTTCATCCCAGTTTCATCCCAGTTTCATCCCAGTTCAATCCCAGTTCAATCCCAGTTTCATCCCAGTTCAATCCCAGTTCAATCCCAGTTCAATCCCAGTTTCATCCAGTTTCGTCCCAGTTTCATCCCAGTTCAATCCCAGTTCAATCCCAGTTTCATCCCAGTTTCGTCCAGTTTCATTTCATCAATCCCAGTTCAATCCCAGTTTCATCCCAGTTTCGTCCCAGTTTCATCCCAGTTCAATCCCAGTTCAATCCCAGTTCCATCCCAGTTCCATCCCAGTTTCATCCCAGTTTCATCCCAGTTCCATCCCAGTTTCATCCCAGTTCATTCCCAGTTCCATCCCAGTTTCATCCCAGTTCAATCCCAGTTCAATCCAGTTTCATCCCAGTTTCTTCCCAGTTCCATCCCAGTTTCATCCCAGTTCAATCCCAGTTCAATCCCAGTTCCATCCCAGTTCCATCCCAGTTTCATCCCAGTTTCGTCCCAGTTCCATCCCAGTTTTCAATCCCAGTTCAATCCCAGTTCCATCCCAGTTCAATCCCAGTACATTCCCAGTTCAATCCCAGTACATCCCAGTACATTCCCAGTTCAATCCCACTTCAATCCCAGTTCAATCCCAGTTCCATCCCAGTTGCTCCCATTAAGATCACATTTAATAGGAAGCTGAACTTTATGTGCACCAGTTTTCAGGAAGAAACTTTCCAGACTGAAATTCTCCATCTGTGGAAAACAGACTTTATATTTTGTGCTGATTGATGTTCAGCCAGTCCTGCTATCATGGATCAATACCAATATTGATCGATTCATTGAAGTCATTCAGATCAAACTGTTTCTGTAAATCAGAATCTGACCTCTGACCTCCAGCTGCACATCGAAGGCATTCCCATCTAACTTTCCTCAGGCTCTGATGTCACTTTGGTTCTGAAAGTCCATTTTAATTCCCGACCAGAACCACTGAAATATTCTAACAACACGTCATAATAACATGTTCTGGTTCTGCTGGTTTGGACTCTATAAACCAGTTTTACTGGATCAAATATTAAACATCAGTTCATCATGTTTCACTTTTACATTCAGTGAAATTAATTTTCTACATTTTATTATTAATTTGTTGATATTTCAGTTTTAACCTGCATCCTGTTGGTTCAGCTCACATCTTTTATTCTTTATCCAGGTTGAAGGACTGCAGGTTGTCAGAGATCAGCTGTTCTTCTCTGGCCTCAGCTCTGACCTTTAACCCCTCCCATCTGACTGAACTGGAGCTGAACTGGAACAACCTGATAGGATCTGGAGTGAAGGAGTTCTGTGGTTTCCTCCAGAACCCAGAATGTAAACTACAGCGATTACAGTAAGTCTCCATGTTTTAGTTTATTGCTGATGTTTGTGATGTGAATAAACATCAGTATTGAGATGAATCCTGATGTTTTAGAGCTGCTCTCATGTTAAAGTGGAAACAGGAAAACAAAGACATGAAGCTGCCACCTGCAGCCTCATCCTCAAATTCCCTGATTCATTTTCATCAGACATGAGAAAAACTGTTTCTAACTCTGGTTTCCCCCAGTGCATTATCAGCCTGGCGGGCCACCAGGTTTTTCCCAGTGCATTATCAGCCTGGTGGGCCACCAAGTTTTTCCCAGTGCATTATCAGCCTGGCGGGCCACCTGGTTTCCCCCAGTGCATTATCAGCCTGCGGGCCACCAGGCTTTCCTTCTGATTAAATTATTAAGGCTGCATTGATTACAGTTTCCTGTTCCGTTACCAGATTATTTTTTGACTGGCCTTCCTTTTGTGGTTGATATTTCTTGTCTGAAACGTCCCAAAGTGTGTGAAGAAGCTGCTAAGTTGCTAACAGTGGCACTATTGCTAGCTGCAGATGTTCAGACACGGAGCTGGAAGACGGCGCCTTCCTTCGGTCTCTGCAGGCCGAACATCAGTCGGGTTCAGGGAAGCAAAAGCACCCAGATCAATCCTGGTAAAGTCCCTGATCCTGAGCCGGACCGCAGTCGGGATGAACAGCTTCCTGAGTTCAGTGGATCCCTCCAGACTGGGGAGGATGGACAACAGATAAAACCTGGAGAGGTTTCACTCTCCAGGCCGACTCACATGGTGGCCTAAAGCATAAAATGTGTTGGCTTTAATTCAGGCTTGGACAGTAAAGTTCATGGGTTGGATGAGACGGATCCGACCAGCGTAGATTTGTCCTCTGGATGCGACCAGGAGGAAGTTGTGAGGCGCAGGTGAAGCGTCATCATTCCAGTGAAGTCCTTTCATTTCAGAAGTTATTTGCTCCAGTCAGTGATTTTGTATTTAGTCGTTTTGTCACAGTGAGACACAGTTAGATGCGTTCATCTTCATTTATGCTGGGATCTGCATTTGCAGCTCAATCAGTTGGTTATTAACTGAACTGCATAAAAATTGCAGCTAAATATCAATTTGAATTTGAAATTTCTGAACATTTTTAACTTTTGAATCTCTGAAAGTTCCAGATTTTTTCTATAAAAGGTCAACAGTTTATGTGTTGCCAAACTGCTGTTGTCCGTCTGGTTCTCCTCCAGGGAGAACCTCAGCCTCTCGGGCCGACCAGGTCCGGTCTGGTTCTGCTGGGTTTGATCTTTGTTGATCCTGATTCCCAGCTTGTGATCAGGAAGACGAGTTTCTCAGAGCTACAGATGATCATATTTAGCATGAAATACGAATCCAGTACCGAACGTCTCTGGCTTATTGTTGGTAAAGAAGCTTATTAGAGCGTTTTAACAACTGACTGGCACACTACTGCCACCAAGTGGTGGAAACTGAGCGCCTGCATTCTGATGCTGCATCATGATTTCTGTAAACTTTATCACAGGTAAAAACCTGGGGGTTTCCTGCAGCCCTCTAGGTGGCGCTGGTGGCCCAACTGTGGTTAAGAATGGCTGTTCTAACTGGTTCTGTTGTTCTAACTGGTTCTGTTGCTCTAACTGGTTCTGTTGCTCTAACTGGTTCTGTTGTTCTAACTGGTTCTGTTGTTCTAACTGGTTCTGTTGTTCTAACTGGTTCTGATGTTCTAACTGGTTCTGTTGATCTAACTGGTTCTGATTTTCTAACTGGTTCTGTTGTTCTAACTGGTTCTGTTGTTCTAACTGGTTCTGTTGCTCTAACTGGTTCTGTTGTTCTAACTGGTTCTGCTGTTCTAACTGGTTCTGTTGCTTTAACTGGTTCTGTTGCTCTAACTGGTTCTGTTGTTCTAACTGGTTCTGTTGCTCTAACTGGTTCTGATGTTCTAACTGGTTCTGATGTTCTAACTGGTTCTGATGTTCTAACTGGTTCTGTTGTTCTAACTGGTTCTGTTGCTCTAACTGGTTCTGATGTTCTAACTGGTTCTGTTGTTCTAACTGGTTCTGTTGCTCTAACTGGTTCTGTTGTTCTAACTGGTTCTGTTGCTCTAACTGGTTCTGTTGCTCTAACTGGTTCTGATGTTCTAACTGGTTCTGTTCTAACTGGTTCTGTTGTTCTAACTGGTTCTGTTGTTCTAACTGGTTCTGTTGCTCTAACTGGTTCTGTTCTAACTGGTTCTGTTGCTCTAACTGGTTCTGTTGTTCTAACTGGTTCTGTGTTCTAACTGGTTCTGATGTTCTAACTGGTTCTGTTGTTCTAACTGGTTCTGTTGTTCTAACTGGTTCTGTTGTTCTAACTGGTTCTGTTGCTCTAACTGGTTCTGTTGTTCTAACTGGTTCTGTTGCTCTAACTGGTTCTGTTGCTCTAACTGGTTCTGATGTTCTAACTGGTTTGTTGTTCTAACTGGTTCTGATGTTCTAACTGGTTCTGATGTTCTAACTGGTTCTGATGTTCTAACTGGTTCTGTTGCTTTAACTGGTTCTGTTGTTCTAACTGGTTCTTGCTCTAACTGGTTCTGATGTTCTAAATGGTTCTGATGTTCTAACTGGTTCTGATGTTCTAACTGGTTCTGTTGTTCTAACTGGTTCTGTTGTTCTAACTGGTTCTGTTGCTTTAACTGGTTCTGTTGTTCTAACTGGTTCTGATTTTCTAACTGGTTCTGTTGTTCTAACTGGTTCTGTTGTTCTAACTGGTTCTGTTGTTCTAACTGGTTCTGTTGCTCTAACTGGTTCTGTTGTTCTAACTGGTTCTGTTGCTCTAACTGGTTCTGTTGTTCTAACTGGTTCTGTTGTTCTAACTGGTTCTGATGTTCTAACTGGTTCTGATGTTCTAACTGGTTCTGTTGCTCTAACTGGTTCTGTTGTTCTAACTGGTTCTGATTTTCTAACTGGTTCTGTTGCTTTAACTGGTTCTGTTGCTCTAACTGGTTCTGTTGCTCTAACTGGTTCTGTTGCTCTAACTGGTTCTGTTGCTCTAACTGGTTCTGTTGCTCTAACTGGTTCTGTTGCTCTAATTGGTTCTGTTGCTCTAACTGGTTCTGTTGCTCTAACTGGTTCTGTTGCTCTAACTGGTTCTGATGTTCTAACTGGTTCTGTTGCTCTAACTGGTTCTGTTCTAACTGGTTCTGTTGTTCTAACTGGTTCTGTTGCTCTAACTGGTTCTGTTGCTTTAACTGGTTCTGTTGCTCTAACTGGTTCTGTTGTTCTAACTGGTTCTGTTGCTCTAACTGGTTCTGTTCTAACTGGTTCTGTTGTTCTAACTGGTTCTGATGTTCTAACTGGTTCTGTTGCTCTAACTGGTTCTGTTCTAACTGGTTCTGTTGTTCTAACTGGTTCTGTTGCTCTAACTGGTTCTGTTGCTCTAACTGGTTCTGTTGTTCTAACTGGTTCTGTTGTTCTAACTGGTTCTGTTGCTCTAACTGGTTCTGTTGTTCTAACTGGTTCTGTTGTTCTAACTGGTTCTGTTGCTCTAACTGGTTCTGTTGTTCTAACTGGTTCTGATGTTCTAACTGGTTCTGATGTTCTAACTGGTTCTGTTGTTCTAACTGGTTCTGATTTTCTAACTGGTTCTGTTGCTTTAACTGGTTCTGTTGCTCTAACTGGTTCTGTTGTTCTAACTGGTTCTGTTGTTCTAACTGGTTCTGTTGCTCTAACTGGTTCTGATGTTCTAACTGGTTCTGTTGCTCTAACTGGTTCTGTTCTAACTGGTTCTGTTGTTCTAACTGGTTCTGTTGCTCTAACTGGTTCTGTTGCTTTAACTGGTTCTGTTGCTCTAACTGGTTCTGTTGTTCTAACTGGTTCTGTTGCTCTAACTGGTTCTGTTGTTCTAACTGGTTCTGTTCTAACTGGTTCTGTTGTTCTAACTGGTTCTGTTGCTCTAACTGGTTCTGTTGCTCTAACTGGTTCTGTTGTTCTAACTGGTTCTGTTGCTCTAACTGGTTCTGTTGTTCTAACTGGTTCTGATGTTCTAACTGGTTCTGTTGTTCTAACTGGTTCTGTTGCTCTAACTGGTTCTGTTGTTCTAACTGGTTCTGTTGTTCTAACTGGTTCTGTTGCTCTAACTGGTTCTGTTGCTCTAACTGGTTCTGATGTTCTAACTGGTTCTGTTGTTCTAACTGGTTCTGTTGTTCTAACTGGTTCTGTTGTTCTAACTGGTTCTGTTGCTTTAACTGGTTCTGTTGTTCTAACTGGTTCTGTTGTTCTAACTGGTTCTGATTTTCTAACTGGTTCTGTTGCTTTAACTGGTTCTGTTGCTCTAACTGGTTCTGTTGTTCTAACTGGTTCTGTTGTTCTAACTGGTTCTGATGTTCTAACTGGTTCTGTTGCTCTAACTGGTTCTGATGTTCTAACTGGTTCTGTTGCTCTAACTGGTTCTGTTGTTCTAACTGGTTCTGTTGTTCTAACTGGTTCTGATGTTCTAACTGGTTCTGATGTTCTAACTGGTTCTGTTGTTCTAACTGGTTCTGTTGGACCGGTGGCTTCAGCTCATATCTTTGGTTCTTTATTCAGATTCAGCCACTGCAGCTTGTCAAAGATCAGCTGTGACGATCCGGCCTCAGCTCTGACCTCCGACCCGTCAGGTCAACCTGGACTGCAGCTGAGCAACAACAACATTTACAACAACAGCTACTACTACGACTACAACCTGGGAGATGATGGACTGAAGGAGATCTGTGATATTCTGCAGGATCCTGGATGCAGAATACAACGACTGCAGTAAGAAACAGTGTCTTGAGTCATTGTTGATATTTCTGATGTAAAGTCGTTTCCAGAGATCAGTCCAGATGTTTCTGAGCTGCTCTCCTGTAAAAGAGGCTGCAGGGAGGAAACAGGAAGTGGAAAATCACAGAATAAGAGCAAAGTGCTGATGCTGCAACTTCAGATTTACTGGTTGTTTCTCTTTCTTTAGAAATTAAATCTGTTAAAGAGGAATAATAACATTTTATGTATTCATGCATTTATTTGAATGTTTTTAATCTTTAGCTTCTGGAATCTATGGAAGCTCAAAGGTGGCAAAATTAAATGAATAAATGTGCCATAAAATACATATTGGTAAATCTCTCTTGTATAAATTAAATGTGCCATGAAGCCAATAACTCATTTAATTTTGCTCTAAATAGTTGAATATATGATGAGACATGCCATGAACAGCAGCTGATCTCAGGAGATTCTGTGACCATCGTGTTCTGATGGCTCTTGTTTGTCTCCAACATGTTCATGTCGATAATTGCTCGCTAGCGCCCCCTGTGGTCACATGGTCACCACCTGGTCCAGGTGTGTGACGTTGTGGTGGAAAACCTTTCAGTCAGTCTGCAGTCGATGTCTAGAAATAACTCCAACGACTTTCTAAACTTTCTGATTCATCTGCTACAAACTGCTGAGCAGCTCCAGCCTCTGCGTCTCGATCTTGGTCTGAAATGTCTCACCAGTTCAGGTTCTGCATGAACGGAGCCGCCATGTTGGAACAGACCCAGCAGAACCAACCAATGGATGAGCCAGGATGAGTGTTAGCCCCGCCCACGAGGCTGATGGCTGGGTTTAAGTTATGAATGTTGAGACGGCAGCCATGATAAATACATCCAGGGAAACACTTAGAAATATTTCCATAGAAACATTTCTCTAACTCAGTGGATCCAAAGACTTTCTGGCCCCAATGGATCACAATAAAAGCCCCAAAAAGAACAACAATCATCTGGGCTCATCGTTCAGCCACACATCAACCTAAACACACATTTTGTTTTCAATCTCCACTGGACTTTATTTCACACTTCAGGTTCCAGCAAAACTACAAACCATCTTTACAGTGAAACACTTTAACTGTGTAACTGCTTTATTTTCCATCATACTCTTCCTGCCCCCTGCAGTGGCACCGTGTTCCCTCTAGGGGGCGCGCCCCACACTTTGGGAACCACTGCACTAACAGGACGTTTTATGATTTCAATTCATTTCTAAAGGTTGACCTAATTATTCACTGAATACGTCAGAATTTCATTATATATTCAATTATTAATGTATTAAAGAACTTTGTGATATTTTTAAGTGTTTTTTTATATTTTTATGATGCATTATTGAATTAATGGGAGATTTATATGATTTAATTTTATCTTTATTTAATTGATCCATTTCTAACCTGTCTGTCAGGAACAAATCTATAATCAATGATTGATGCTTCAGTACTTTGATCAGACCTGGAAGGATTTTCTTACTAAAATTCTGCAGTTGAAGCAGCAGCAGCTTCATGTTGGCATTAATATTCATTCATCTGGTTCTGTTGGACTGGTTCACCTGCATCCTGTTGGTTCAGCTCACATCTTTTATTCTTTATCCAGGTTGAAGAAATGCAGTTTGTCAGAGATCAGCTGTTCTTCTCTGGCCTCAGCTCTGCAGTCCAACCAACATCTGACTGAAGTGGAAATAAATGAGATCAACATGGAGGAAACCGTTTCAGACTCTGGGATGAAGCGTCTGTGTGAGATCCTGCAGAGTTCAGTCACTAAAGTCAAGACTTTAAGGTTTGTTTTCTCTGTCAAAATGATTCATTGATACGTTAACAATTATTTTCATTCATAATTTATTTGCCTAACAAACATCCTGATGTCAAAAAGGCAGAATATTTTTTGTCAAACATTTTTCCATTAAAATAAATTATTTTCATATTTCAGGCTGTCAGAATATTGAACTTTAGTTGAAATGTTTTGCTGCTGAAGCAAATGGAGGTAAATAAATGAATGAAAGGTGGAGACGCTCCAGTCTGGTGTGGGACAGATTCAGATGAAGCACTTTAATATTTCCTTCAATATCAATATGATCAATATTGGTACCGATGTGATCAATACTGGGATGGATCCGCCCACCTCTAGTGAGAAGCAGAAACGTGACAAAGAGAGATTAATGCTGTCTAACACTGAAGACAATGAAGGAAATTTACTGAGAATAACGGAGCAAACCGACGGTAAAAGGCTTCCTGATGCTAAGCTAAGCTAGCTTAGCGTGATTAGAGCTGTTAGCATGCTCCATTGAGGTAGCAGCTAATGCTACATCCGGTGTTAGCATTACTGCATGGTGAAGTGTTTGTTGTCTCCATACCAGAGGAAAGTGACTTCTGTGAATAAGTTAGCAGGAGCTAAAAGCTGCTAATGTTTAGAGCGGCTGGAAGAGCAGACGGTGGCCAGCTTCACACTGAGGATGATGATGGTGATTCTTCATCCTCATCATTGATCAGGGAACCAAAGCCAACCTGATTGGATGCAGGGAAACCACAGCCTGGTTTTCATCGGGCTGCTGCTGCTCATGTTTACAAGATGATTCATTAATGAACCGGAAATCTTTCATTCATCCCCAAAACTCGGATTATTCATTATTCTGGTCCATTCAGACCTTCGATCAAAACCGAGGGCCGACATGAGGCTGGTGCTGCTCTACATATAACACTGTAAAAAGGAGTTTAGATTAAAAATGTTTTATTTACATTAACATGTTATTTTAAATGTTCCTCAATGATCAATACAGTTTGACTGATGTTAGCCTTTGCTGACCCAAAATGCCAACCAGTTTGTTTCATTTATGGATTTGAATTATTTATTGTTAATGTGTCACTTAGATTAAAGTTTAATTCACTTCAATTTTACCAGGATTTTTATTTCTTTCTTCCTTTGATTTCAAGGTTTTTGGACCAAACACTGTGTCCTTCCTTCACCATTGGTCCCACTTCATTCCCAGTTCAATCCCAGTTCCATCCCAGTTCCATCCCAGTTCCATCCCAGTTCCATCCCAGTTCAATCCCAGTTTCATCCCAGTTTCATCCCAGTTCCATCCCAGTTCAATCCCAGTTCCATCCCAGTTCAATCCCAGTTCCATCCCAGTTCCATCCCAGTTCATTCCCAGTTTCATCCCAGTTCCATCCCAGTTCCATCCCAGTTCAATCCCAGTTCAATCCCAGTTCCATCCCAGTTCAATCCCAGTACATTCCCAGTTTCATCCCCAGTTCCATCCCAGTTCCATCCCAGTTCAATCCCAGTTCCATCCCAGTTCAATCCCAGTACATTCCCAGTTCCATCCCAGTTCAATCCCAGTTCCATCCCAGTTCCATCCCAGTTCAATCCCAGTACATTCCCAGTTCCATCCCAGTTTCATCCCAGTTCCATCCCAGTTCAATCCCAGTTTCATCCCAGTTTCATCCCAGTTCCATCCCAGTTCCATCCCAGTTTCATCCCAGTTCCATCCCAGTTTCATCCCAGTTCCATCCCAGTTTCATCCCAGTTCATCCCAGTTCCATCCCAGTTCAATCCCAGTTCCATCCCAGTTCAATCCCAGTTTCATCCCAGTTTCATCCCAGTTCCATCCAGTTCAATCCCAGTTCCATCCCAGTTCAATCCCAGTTCCATCCCAGTTCCATCCCAGTTTCATTCCCAGTTTCATCCCAGTTCCATCCCAGTTCCATCCCAGTTCAATCCCAGTTCAATCCCAGTTCCATCCCAGTTCAATCCCAGTACATTCCCAGTTTCATCCCAGTTCCATCCCAGTTCCATCCCAGTTCAATCCAGTTCCATCCCAGTTCAATCCCAGTTCCATCCCAGTTCAATCCCAGTTCCATCCCAGTTCCATCCCAGTTCATTCCCAGTTTCATCCCAGTTCCATCCCAGTTCCATCCCAGTTCCATCCCAGTTCAATCCCAGTTCCATCCCAGTTCAATCCCAGTTCAATCCCAGTTCCATCCCAGTTCAATCCCAGTACATTCCCAGTTCAATCCCAGTTCAATCCCAGTTCAATCCCAGTTCAATCCCAGTTCAATCCCAGTTCAATCCCAGTTCCATCCCAGTTCCATCCCAGTTCATTCCCAGTTTCATCCCAGTTCCATCCAGTTCCATCCCAGTTCAATCCCAGTTCAATCCCCAGTTCCATCCCAGTTCAATCCCAGTTCAATCCCAGTTCCATCCAGTTCAATCCCAGTTTCATCCCAGTTCATTCCCAGTTCCATCCCACTTCAATCCCAGTTAATTCCCAGTTCCATCCCAGTTTCATCCCAGTTCAATCCCAGTTCAATCCCAGTTCAATCCCAGTTTCATCCCAGTTTCATCCCAGTTTCTTCCCAGTTCCATCCCAGTTTCATCCCAGTTCAATCCCAGTTCAATCCCAGTTCCATCCCAGTTTCATCCCAGTTTCATCCCAGTTCAATCCCAGTTCAATCCCAGTTCCATCCCAGTTCCATCCCAGTTTCATCCCAGTTCATCCCAGTTTCATCCAGTTCAATCCCAGTTCAATCCCAGTTCAATCCCAGTTTCTTCCCAGTTCCATCCCAGTTTCATCCCAGTTCAATCCCAGTTCAATCCCAGTTCCATCCCAGTTCCATCCCAGTTTCATCCCAGTTTCGTCCCAGTTCCATCCCAGTTCAATCCCAGTTCAATCCCACTTCAATCCCAGTTCATTCCCAGTTCCATCCCAGTTCAATCCCAGTTCAATCCCAGTTCCATCCCAGTTCAATCCCAGTACATTCCCAGTACATTCCCAGTTCAATCCCACTTCAATCCCAGTTCAATCCCAGTTCCATCCCAGTTGCTCCCATTAAGATCACATTTAATAGGAAGCTGAACTTTATGTGCACCAACAGTTTTCAGGAAGAAACTTTCCAGACTGAAATTCTCCATCTGTGGAAAACAGACTTTATATTTTGTGCTGATTGATGTTCAGCCAGTCCTGCTATCATGGATCAATACCAATATTGATCGATTCATTGAAGTCATTCAGATCAAACTGTTTCTGTAAATCAGAATCTGACCTCTGACCTCCAGCTGCACATCGAAGGCATTCCCATCTAACTTTCCTCAGGCTCTGATGTCACTTTGGTTCTGAAAGTCCATTTTAATTCCCGACCAGAACCACTGAAATATTCTAACAACACGTCATAATAACATGTTCTGGTTCTGCTGGTTTGGACTCTATAAACCAGTTTTACTGGATCAAATATTAAACATCAGTTCATCATGTTTCACTTTTACATTCAGTGAAATTAATTTTCTACATTTTATTATTAATTTGTTGATATTTCAGTTTTAACCTGCATCCTGTTGGTTCAGCTCACATCTTTATTCTTTATCCAGGTTGAAGGACTGCAGGTTGTCAGAGATCAGCTGTTCTTCTCTGGCCTCAGCTCTGACCTTTAACCCCTCCCATCTGACTGAACTGGAGCTGAACTGGAACAACCTGATAGGATCTGGAGTGAAGGAGTTCTGTGGTTTCCTCCAGAACCCAGAATGTAAACTACAGCGATTACAGTAAGTCTCCATGTTTTAGTTTATTGCTGATGTTTGTGATGTGAATAAACATCAGTATTGAGATGAATCCTGATGTTTAAGAGCTGCTCTCATGTTAAAGTGGAAACAGGAAAACAAAGACATGAAGCTGCCACCTGCAGCCTCATCCTCAAATTCCCTGATTCATTTTCATCAGACATGAGAAAAACTGTTTCTAACTCTGGTTTCCCCAGTGCATTATCAGCCTGGCGGGCCACCAGGTTTCCCCCAGTGCATTATCAGCCTGGCGGGCCACCAGGTTTCCCCCAGTGCATTATCAGCCTGGCGGGCCACCAGGTTTCCCCCAGTGCATTATCAGCCTGGCGGGCCACCAGGTTTCCCCCAGTGGATTATCAGCCTGGCGGGCCACCAGGTTTCCCCAGTGGATTATCAGCCTGGCGGGCCACCTGGTTTCCCCCAGTGGATTATCAGCCTGGCGGGCCACCAGGTTTCCCCCAGTGCATTATCAGCCTGGCGGGCCACCAGGTTTCCCCCAGTGCATTATCAGCCTGGCGGGCCACCAGGTTTCCCCCAGTGGATTATCAGCCTGGCGGGCCACCAGGTTTCCCCCAGTGCATTATCAGCCTGGCGGGCCACCAGGTTTCCCCCAGTGCATTATCAGCCTGGCGGGCCACCAGGTTTCCCCCAGTGCATTATCAGCCTGGTGGGCCACCAAGTTTCCCCCAGTGCATTATCAGCCTGGCGGGCCACCAGGTTCCCTCAGTGCATTATCAGCCTGGCGGGCCACCAAGTTTCCCCCAGTGCATTATCAGCCTGGCGGGCCACCTGGTTTCCCCCAGTGCATTATCAGCCTGGTGGGCCACCAAGTTTCCCCCAGTGCATTATCAGCCTGGCGGGCCACCAGGTTTCCCTCAGTGCATTATCAGCCTGGCGGGCCACCAGGTTTCCCCCAGTGCATTATCAGCCTGGCGGGCCACCAGGTTTCCCCCAGTGCATTATCAGCCTGAGGGGCCACCAGGTTTCCCCCAGTGGATTATCAGCCTGGCGGGCCACCAGGTTTCCCCCAGTGCATTATCAGCCTGGCGGGCCACCAGGTTTCCCCCAGTGCATTATCAGCCTGGCGGGCCACCAGGTTTCCCCCAGTGCATTATCAGCCTGGCGGGCCACCAGGTTTCCCCCAGTGCATTATCAGCCTGGCGGGCCACCAGGTTTCCCCCAGTGCATTATCAGCCTGGCGGGCCACCTGGTTTCCCCCAGTGCAT